TGGATCTGTGCTCAGGGCTGACTCCCGGCTCTGTGCTCGGGCCTGACTCCCGGCTCTGTGCTCGGGCCTGACTCCTGGATCTGTGCTCAGGGCTGACTCCCGGCTCTGTGCTCGGGCCTGACTCCTGGCTCTGTGCTCGGGCCTGACTCCTGGCTCTGTGCTCAGGGCTGACTCCCGGCTCTGTGCTCGGGCCTGACTCCTGGCTCTGTGCTCGGGCCTGACTCCTGGCTCTGTGCTCAGGGCTGACTCCTGGCTCTGTGCTCGGGCCTGACTCCCGGCTCTGTGCTCGGGCCTGACTCCTGGATCTGTGCTCAGGGCTGACTCCCGGCTCTGTGCTCAGGCCTGACTCCCGGCTCTGTGCTCGGGCCTGACTCCTGGATCTGTGCTCAGGGCTGACTCCCGGCTCTGTGCTCGGGTCTGACTCCCGGCTCTGTGCCTGGGCCTGACTCCTAGATCTGTGCTCAGGGCTGACTCCTGGTTCTGCACTCAGGGATCAATCCTGGCAGTGCTCAGGGGACGATATGAGATGCAGGGGATGGAATCAGGTCCAGCCTCATGCAAGGCCAGTGCCTTGAGCTCTGCATTACCTCTCGGCCCCAAAGTCCCCATTTGATCTCTCTGCCCCCCAAGCCCCTGTAGTGTCTCTTCGCATGTGAGTTTGGGGTCCCCAGCAACGAGCCCGCCTTCTCTCAGGTCCCCACCAGGGGGCAGCATACCCACAGTTGCGCCCGCTCTCAGCTGGGGTGTAATCCCGGGTGGGGGTTCAGATTTGCCCTGGGAAGGGGGCAGGGTGGTCCGAGGCGCCCTCCCAGCTTCAGGCCCCCCTGGCCAGCCCCCAGCTCCCTCCCCCAGGCCGCAGCCCGCGGAGGAGCCCCCTGGGAAAGCAGACCCACAATTTGGAGCCGAGTCAGTTCCTCTGTTCTCAGCCTGAAAACACACTCGAGAGACAATGGGCAGAGTGCGGAATCTGGGGCGCGGGGCGGCTTCCTGCGCTGAAAAGACGGGGAGCGGGGGATTGCGGGGGCCGCTGGCATGGGGCGCTCCCCACTTGAGAGGGACACAGAGCTGACTGGGGGACAAATAGGGGTTTAGAAAGTCCTGACAGAGCGCGGGACAAGCGCGGGCACAAGGCCCGCTGGAGCGCCCCGCTGGGCCGCAGACCAAGGCCCGCCCCTGCCTGCACGGCCCGGCCACAGCTGCCAGCGCCCGGCGGTGGGCACCGGCAGCGGGCAGCGCTGCCCGCAGAGACCACCCACCGCTGCCCAGGGGTCTGAACCCTGGCGTGATGAGGAGCGGACGCAACCGTGTGCAGGCCCGGGTCCCGGCCCCAGGAAGGAGGGTAGGACACCAGCTGTCCACAGCGGAGACGACATGGGGGCCACGGGACCCACGGCCTGGCCCGGACAGCACAGCCGCACCTGCAACCCCACCTTCTCCACAGCCACCCGCACCCGCACGCTCACCCCCGCACACTCGCACACACCCACACTCACACACACACACACGCACAGTCACCCACACTCACACACCCTCGCTCACACACCCGCACACTCACACACCTGCACACTCACACAGCCACACACTCACATACCCACTCACACACCCACACCCATACACAACCCCACACACTCACACTCCTGCACACACACCCACACTCACACACATGCACAGTCACCCATACTCACACATCCTCACTCACACAACCACACACACACCCGCACTCACACACCCACACTCACACACCTGCACACTCACACAGCCACACCCATACACAACCCCCACTCACACACCCGCACACACACCCACACTCACTGACCCACACCCACACACACCCCCATACACACTGACACACCAGGACACTCACACCCACACACTTACACCTGCACATACACACCTGCACACTCACACACCCACACCCTCACAAATTTATACATTTACCTGCACCCACACACTCACTCACACTCACCCGCACACACTCATGTGCTCACCCGTCCCTGAACCTCACACTCACAGACACGCCCCACAGCTTTCTACTCACACCCGGACCACGCCCACGCCTGCGATTCACCCGCACCCACACCCGTGCCCACAGCCCACCCCCGCTCCCCAAGACTCACCCACACTCGCACACTCACCCACACCCTTACCCACCACAGAATCACTTTCACCCCCATACCCTCACCTGCACATACCACACACATCACTTGCCACACTCATACGCACACACACTACACACACGGCACACATACATAATAGGCACATCACACATATAACATGCCACACACACACCACACATCTGTCATCTCACGCCCAACACATACAACATGTATCATGTAACACACACACACCGTACAAATAACACATACAGGCTACACACATACCACACACCACACAACCAAACACTACACAAATGCCATAATTACCACACACCACACACATAACACAGAAAATACCACACATAACCCCACACAATACTCCATAACATGTACATACGATACACACAATTCACATCCCCACCATACACTCATACCACGCATTCACACACATGTTACAATGCATACCACACACCCTGCACACTCATCACACACACGAACCACATACCCCGACACATACATGTAACACACATATAACACAACACATACCATACAAATACTGCACACAACACACGCATTCTACACACAGACCACACAAAGCATACAACACACATATACAGACCACAACACCTACACAAATCACACACCAGACAAACACACATACACCTAAATACACACTACACATGTACCACACCACATAAGGCTACACACACCATGAGTATATACTACACGCATCACACACACTACACACATACTATATATATTACACTACCACACACAATACACACATACACCACAGACTCATGGCACACACAACCCCCACATACACAAAACATCTATAACACACTACATCCCTACCACAGACCACACATGCATCTCACATACATTGTCACCCACCCACACACACTAACACATACACATATACCACGTGGCTATGCACACACATGCATCACACTCCCTGCCCCTCTCCTGCACAATCTCACACACACTCTGACAGGAAGCTTAAGGGCAGATCGACTCCCAGATGGCTGGGCTGAAGGCCCTGACCTCGGGCCTGTCCCAGTCACCACACAGCCCTGCCCTGCCGCTCCCTCTACACACACCGGGATACAGGTGGGGGGCGGGCACCGAGCAGCTCTGGCAGGGATGCCTCGGGCCCCTGGACAGGGAGGTCATCCTGGCCCGCCACGGTGCGGCCCCTCACTGTGCCGCAGTCCCGCCCTCGTTCCCGACCAGAACAGGGGGTCCCAGGGGCAGTATCATGGCTCTGCCTTGGCCAATGCCCAGGCGTCCCTCTGACGTGGGGCCAGCCCCTGGGCGTCCAGCAGCGAGAAGCTCACTGGTCACTGCGGCGTCTCCAGCTACCACGTCTGTCCCTGGGAAACGCAGGGGTCTCCCGTGGTGCCGTGCCCTCCAGCAGGGTCTCCCCAGCATCCCCGGCGAGATGCCAATGCGTGGGATCCCCTCCCGCCACCCGAGCATGTGTTCAGGGTGGGGGTCCTCGAGGACCTTCTCATTTGAGGGAGGCTGAGAGCACCCGGGCCCCAAGACACGCAGACCTGAGGCCCCACAGGCTGGTGCCACCCCGATGACATCAGTGCATGACCAGCGGCGCACCCTGGGAACAGCTGGGCGCCCGGAAATGACACACACTGGTGAGTATACCTCCCACCTACCTGGTCCTTTCTCTGAGCTTTTTTCTGAAAATCTCTCTCCCACCAGCCCCAGATGCTCCTCAAGATGCAAGGCTGTGAGCTCAGGTGTGTGAGACCAGGCATGTGAGCTCAGGTGTGTGTAAGCTCAGGCATGTGAGCTCATGTGTGTGTGAGCTCAGGTATGTGGACTCAGGTCTGTGAGCTCAAGTGTGTGTGAGCTCAGGTGTGTGTGAGCTCAGGTGTGTGATCTCAGGTGTGTGGGCTCAGGTGTGTGTGGGCTCAAGTGTGTGTGAGCTCAGGTGTGTGTGAGCTCAGGTGTGTGGGCTCAGGTGTGTGGGCTCAGGTGTGTGTGGGCTCAGGTGTGTGGGCTCAGGTGTGTGGGCTCAGGTGTGTGTGCGCTCAGGTGTGTGTGAGCTCAGGTGTGTGTGAGCACAGGTGTGTCTGAGCTCAGGTGTGTGGGCTCAGGTGTGTGGGCTCAGGTGTGTGAGCTCAGGTGTGTGTGGGCTCAGGTGTGTGTGGGCTCAGGTGTGTGGGCTCAGGTGTGTGGGCTCAGGTGTATGTGGGCTCAGGTGTGTGAGCTCAGGTGTGTGTGGGCTCAGGTGTGTGGGCTCAGGTGTGTGGGCTCAGGTGTGTGGGCTCAGGTGTGTGTGAGCTCAGGTGTGTGTGAGCTCAGGTGTGTGTGGGCTCAGGTGTGTGTGGGCTCAGGTGTGTGGGCTCAGGTGTGTGTGAGCTCAGGTGTGTGTGAGCTCAGGTGTGTGTGGGCTCAGGTGTGTGTGGGCTCAGGTGTGTGGGCTCAGGTATGTGGGCTCAGGTGTGTGGGCTCAGGTGTGTGAGCTCAGGTGTGTGTGGGCTCAGGTATGTGGGCTCAGGTGTGTGGGCTCAGGTGTATGTAGGCTCAGGTGTGTGTGAGCTCAGGTGTGTGTGGGCTCAGGTGTGTGAGCTCAGGTGTGTGTGAGCTCAGGTGTGTGTGAGCTCAGGTGTGTCTGAGCTCAGGTGTGTGAGCTCAGGTGTGTGGGCTCAGGTGTGTGTGGGCTCAGGTGTGTGGGCTCAGGTGTGAGAGACGAGCTCCAGCCTGGTCCTCCTTCTGCCTGCTGCAGTTGCTGACGCAGAGGCTGTGGACAGACGGTGTCCATGGGTGTCAGGGGCTGAGCTTGTGAGCCGGGCCCCTGTTTTAGGGTGATGAAGGGCGCAGTTCTGTGAGGAGCCCCCAGGAATCCTCGTGGCAGGCGGCACTGGGGCCCACGGCACTTACCTGCGGGTCGGACAGCCGGGAGAGGTCGGGGTACAGGTAGAACTTGATGCCTTCCGAGGCACCGGGCAGCGTCACCCCTCGGATCAGGAGGACCAGCAGCATGATGTAGGGGAACGTGGCGGTGACGTACACGACCTGCAGGGGAGGGGGAGAGGGTCAGGGAGGGGCGGCGCAGAGGTGTGTGAGCTCCTGGGAAGGGGCCCTCGGGACAAGTTTCCCCCTTCACCACCATCACCCCCTCCAGGGCCCATTTCCCAGTCCTCGTGCAGCAAGCCTCTGAGAGGTCAGAGGTCACTGCGAGCCTCCATGAGGTCAGAGGTCAGTACAAGTCTCAGAGGTCAGAGTGACTATCCATAAGGTCAGAGGTCAGTGCAAGCTCCCGTGAGGTCAGAGGTCAGCATGAACCTTCATGAGGTTGGAGGTCAGAGCTGTGCTGGCCCTTGGACTCACCCACCCACAGGAAGAGCCGTGGAGGGAACCAGCCCACATGACCAGCCACGGCAAGCAGCCTGGCCGCGGGACAGTGGTCTCGCCGCGGGAGCACTCTCAGGCTTCCTGCCCCACTGCTCTCCCTGGTTCTTATAGGAGGAGCAGGGCCGGGCGTCCAGCCTCTGAGCCAACTGCCGGCTGCATGTCCTACTTCCACCAGCAGCCAAGACTCACATTTCAGTGTTTTGTTTTGGTTTTGGGGCCACACCCGGCGGGGCTCAGGACTGAATCCTGGCCTGTGCTCAGGGATCACGCCGGGGGGCTCAGGGGAACCATGTGGGGTGCTGGGGATTGAACCCAGGTTGTCCGTGTGGGAGGGAAGCGGCGACTCCCTGTGCTGACGCTCTGGCCCAGGACTCGTGTTTTTGGAGGCCACATCTCCTAATGAAGGGGATCCTCACAGCTAGGGATGAGGCGAGGGGATGAGTGACGGGGGCGGGAAGGGGCACCTTGAGCCTTCTGCACCCGGCCCTGAGCCTGAGCAGCCCCTTGGGTGTGGCTGAGGGGAGGAGTGGGCCAGGAGGACGCGTGCGTGTGGGTGAGGCTCAGTAGCTTGGCCGGGAGCCCAGCGGTGTCAGCCTCCTGCAGCGAGGCCTTGTCCCCAGTTCTGCGCCCTCACTGGGCCTGCCCCTTCCATCTGCTCAGGCAGCATCAGGCGGTGCAGACCTTGGGGGTCAGGGACTGGGAAGCGGTCACCAGCTCTGCCCTGTCCTGCCCCCACATGCAAGTACTCCAAAGTGGCACAAGGGACTTTGTCCAAGGCACCACAGTCTGCTGGGGACTGGGACTGAGGGGTTGTGTGAACACAAGCCACTCCCAGATCCTCACACGGAACTGCCAGCTACAGGGTCAGAGGCCACATGAATACAATGACAAGGACATGGTGATGGGGATGCAGTGACAGGTGCAACAATAGGGACATAGTGATAGACACAGTGATAGGGATGCAGTGACTAGTGCAGGGATGCAGTGACACATGCGGTGACAGGAATGCAGTGGTTGCTGCAGTGACAGGAACAGTGACAGGTACAGTGATGAGTGCAGTGCAGGTACAGTGCCAGAGATGCAGTGACTGGGCAATGCCAGGTGCAGTGACAGGGATGCATTGATAGGGATGCAGTGACAGGGAGGCAGGGATAGGGAGGCAGTGATAGGGAGGCAGTGATAGGGATGCAGTGACAGAGAGGCAGTGACAGGGATGCAGTGACGGGGATGCAGTAACAGGGATGCAGTGACAGGGATGCAGTGACGGGGATGCAGTAACAGGGATGCAGTGACAGGGATGCAGTGACGGGGATGCAGTAACAGGGATGCAGTGACAGGATGCAGTGACGGGGATGCAGTGATGGGGATTCAGTGACAGAAGCTGTGAGAGGGCACAAGTAGGCAGGCACACAGTTTAGAACCCCACCCTCAAGCACAGATGTTGAAGGTGCAGGGGTTGAGGAGGCGCCTACAGACACAGCCTGGGAAGGTGACATTTCACCCTCGGGTCTGTTCCACCTGCAAGACGGCACCCGTGTCCAGCGAGCCCATAGTCCAGCCAGCAGGCTGGGACTCTTGCTTCTGGGTCAGCCATGAGCACTGTCTGTTGGCGTGGGACCAGTACAGACCACTGGCTTCTGTAACTGACATCCACGTAATAGCGATGAACTCCTTTTCACGGACAAAATTTCTTCGACCTGCCTGCCCTTGCGGGCTGCTCTCCTGCACACCCTCCTCAGACCAGCAATGCTACAGCAGCTGACCACAGCTCTCAGCCTCTCTCCACCCGGGAACCGGCTCGAGTCTGCTTTCTGGCCCACAGACACGTGGCAGTGATTGAGGCGCGGACAAGTGGTGGAAGAAAGCTGAGTTACAAGGCCACAGAGGTGAACTCAGGCAAAAAGCAGAATCAGGGAGCAGAAGTCAATTCCTAGGAGAGGCCGCAAGCCTGCAAGGGGGGGGTGTCGGCCCCCGGAGAATGCGGGTTCTCCAGATCTGCCCCCCTAAGGGAGAGGCTCGGTTCTGGGGAGCCTCTGCACGGTGTGCCTGCTGGTTCCTCCTTTCCAGACAAACCTCCCCGCATCGACCACTTCCCGCCTCCGCGAAGCCTCGCTCAAGACATTCCTCTCCGTTTCTCAGCAGGGGCCTGAGGACTGCAGGGCCCAGGGCTGGGGAATGACATTTCTGGAGCTCAGCTGAACCCCCAGGGCTCTCAAAACCTCAGAAGCACATGAGCACAGAAACTGCCAAGGGCTGAAGCACAGCACAGGAATGTGGCCTCTGTCCCTGGGGCCGCCTGGACGTGACTCTCTCGGGGCTTATCCTCGACCCGACCTATTTCAAGGACGCTGAGCCCCTGGGGTGTCATCCAGGGCTCACCCCCCAGGACTCCCAATGGCAAAGGAAGCAGCTTAGCTCGGTCCCTGCCGCCGCCGCCACGGGAGCCCTGCGCCTGCCACCAGCACCCCTTTCCCTCTCTGCACCTCTGATGTAATTGGAAGAGAAAGAAAATAGTCACTGAGAAGAGCACGCGCCGCCGGCTGCCGAGGCCCGCCACCGCTGGACGCCACCTCTGTGAGCGGAGCTGAGAGCCCACAGCTGGGCATGGAGGGTGTGTTTGGGGCATCACTGCAGAGGGCACCTGTGGGGGTCACCCTGGGATGGCCCAGGCCTGCTGTGGGCACCAGGTCGCCTAAAGGCCCCTTCAGATTCATCTTTTTTTTTTAAACCAATTTTATTTATTTATTTTGCTTTTTGGGTCACACAGGCTATGCACAGGGGTTACTCCTGGCTTTCCACTCAGGAATGACTCCTGGCGGTGCTCGGGGGACCCTATGGGATGCTGGGAATCGAACCCAGGTCGGCTGCGTGCAAGGCAAACGCCGTCCCCGCTGTGCTATCGCTCCAGCCCCTCAGATCCATCTTCACCCTCCACTTCGCTTGCAAAATCCGGGAAGAAGCACGTGAACACGAAAACCGTTTCAGCAAAGCGCTGAAAGAAAACGTAATTTTTACCCTGAGTGCATCTTTGATTTTCCCAGAACAGCTGCAACAAGTCAGGTCATACAGACCGTGATGGTCAGTGAGGAATTTCCCCCGAGGCCATCCCCATTGCCAGGCCCTTTCTATGTCCATGTCCAGGCATTGCAAACAGGTTCCAGTGTCGAGCCTGGAGCTGGCCAGAGGGACAGTGGGCAGAAACCCGACACATGCCGCCTTTTCACGGGTCCCACTTCCCACCTCTGAGCTTGCAGGCTCCCCTTCAGGGCCCCGAGGCCCTGTCTGTAGGGTGGGGGCCTCGGGGCTGTCTGTGGGTGCAGGAGAAACAGGGGCTGGGGTCCAGGCTCCCGTAGGGACCTCCTGGTGCGGAGCAAGGGGTCAGGCAGGGAAGGTAAGGAACTAGCAGAGGACGGGAAGACAGCATAGAAGTTTGTCACCCAGGACATCTAGAACCTTCCAGGCTGACCAGAGGGGGTCAGGCTGGAGAAGCCGCACCTCATCCTCAGTTCCCCGCATTCGTCCAGCAGTGTCCAGTCCAGCCCCTCAATCTCAGCGTCTCTGCACAGACACACCCTTGGCCCTCCTCACCGGCGCCCCTTCCTGGTCAAGGGACCCCCCCAGGCTGCCCTCCCCCGGGGTCTGGCTGTGTCCCCGGCCCCGCGTGTTCAGGGCTGTGGGCTGAGCACCGGCTCAGAGGACCCCGCTTCCCTGGCCAGCTCAGTTGCAACTCGCTGTGTGGCGGGACACTCTGTGCGCCCGCTGTGCCCGGGGCCTCGAGCTGGGAGTGTGCCAGGTCGCGCCAGACCTCGGGCCTTCTCCTCGTCCAGGCGTCCATCCCCGCTCTGCAGCCACCCACCACGCGGGGCTTGTGTGTCTGACGGGGGTGGCTCCGGGTCAGGGGTGCGTCCACTGAGGACACTTCATCGCTGTCCTGTGGCCTCGTGGTGGGCCCCCCAGGCTGGGGTGGGGTGGGGAGTCCACGCCGTCGGCCCCAGGGCTGCCCAGGTCGCCCACCTCGTTCTACCCCCATCACCCCACATTCGCTCCAGGGTGCGCCAGCCTGGCCCAGTGGCTCTCCTCCTCCCTGTGTACCTCAAAATCTCAAACCTCATAAAGGGATTTAGGGGGTTTGTGTGGGGGCCACACCCGGCTGTACTCCGGGCTGACTCCTGGCTCTGCACTCAGGGAACGCTCCTGGTGGAGCTCAGGAGACCCTACGGGGTGCTGAGGATCGAACCGGGGTCGGCCACATCAAGGCAAGCGCCCTTCCCATGCTTGTCTTTCTCCCAGCTGTGTCAGGTGCCCAAACGGCACCCCTGGTGTCTGAAGCTGCACTCAGGCCATGGATAACAGCCGGGGCCTGGGTAATAGTGGACGGGCCCCAAGGGGCAGAGTGCTGGCTTACCTCAGGGACAGGGACACATGTATTTTTTTTTTCATTTTGCTATTTGGGTCACACCTGGTGATGCACTGAGGTTCCTCCTGGCTCTGCACTCAGGAATTACTCCTGGTGGTGCTCAGGGGACTCTATGGGATAATGAGAATTGAACCCAGGTCAGCGGCATGCAAGGCAAATGCCCTCCCCGCTGTGCTATCACTCCAACCCCTGGTTGCATGTATTTCAAGAGGCATCCATAGGCCATCTCAGGAGACTGGTGTCC